ATATTGTTAAATATTAAATTGTTTTCTATTTTAATATATTTTAAAAATGTAATTTATTCCTGTGATCAAAGCTGAATTTCCAGCATCATTACTCCAGATAAATGCTGTTCTTTTGAACTTTCTATTCATCAAAGAATCCAGAAATAAAAATGTAAATAACTGTTTTCAACACTGATAATAATCATAAATGTTTCTTGAGCATCAGATCCTCATATTAGAGTGATTTCCGAAGGATCATGTGACACTGAAGACTGGAGTAATGATGTTAGTTCACAGTGCATTAACTAATCTTAACAAGATTTTAATAAAGTTTTAGTAAATGAAGAAATTAACATTAACAAAGATTAATAAATGCGGTATACGTGCAGTTCATTATTAGTTCATGTTAACTGTAAAGTGTTAGCGGTTCCTGTAATTATGAGATTAATCATAAATCACAGTTAAATAGATAACATTTCTGCATATTAAGTCTTTTAAACCTGATTCTCGCACAACAGTGACCTCTCTGTCTCTCTCTGTGTGTGTGTGTGTGTGTGTGTGTGTGTGTGTGTGTGTGTGTGTGTGTCGGGCCCCCGAGGGCCTCAGAGCTGTGGAGAGAGCAGTCATTAATCTCTCAGCAGAGAGGCTCTTCATCACACGCCTCAGGGACTCAGATCGGCTGGATCTTACAAATCATCTGAACCTGCGACAGCGATGAAAGTGTGTGTGTGAGAGTGTGTGTGAGTGAGTGAGTGAGTGTGTGTGTGTGTGTGTGTGTGTGTGTGAGTGTGAGTGTGTGTGTGTGTGTGTGTGTGTGTGTGTGAGTGAGTGTGTGTGTGAGTGTATGTGAGTGTGTGAGTGAGTGAGTGAGTGTGTGTGTGTGTGAGTGAGTGAGTGAGTGAGTGTGTGTGTGAGTGTGTGTGAGTGTGTGAGTGAGTGAGTGAGTGAGTGAGTGTGTGTGTGAGTGAGTGAGTGAGTGAGTGTGTGTGAGAGTGTGTGAGTGAGTGAGTGAGTGTGTGAGTGTGTGAGTGAGTGAGTGAGTGTGTGTGTGTGTGTGTGAGTGAGTGAGTGAGTGTGTGTGAGAGTGTGTGAGAGTGTATGTGAGTGAGTGAGTGAGTGAGTGTGTGTGTGTGTGTGTGTGTGAGTGAGTGAGTGAGTGTGTGTGAGAGTGTGTGAGAGTGTATGTGAGTGAGTGTGTGTGTGTGTGTGTGTGGGTGTGTGTGTGTGTGTGTGTGAGAGAGAGTGTGTGTGAGTGAGTGAGTGTGTGAGTGTGTGTGTGTGTGTGTGTGTGTGTGTCAGTCGAACATGCCTGAACCTTCCAGCTCTGAGCTTCAGTGAAACCTTCCTCATTCAGACTGTCTCAGTGTTACACTTAAAGGGCTCCTATTACACTTTTCTACTTTCTTTAGTGTGTAATGTTGCAGTTTGAGCATTAAAAAGCTCCAGTTCTCCTCTATATCAGTGTTTCTGAACTCCTGAAACGCCTCCATTGTAGTCTTGAGTTTCTTCCGGGAACGAACACGTCACAATATTCCTCATTATAATAATTCATGCGCAGAATAAAGGGGCGGGGCCTGGTTGAGTTAGTTAGTAGTGTGTTAAACTGGCGGTTATGGAAAGGGGCGGGGCATTTCCCAAACACACTCGAAGCGCTCGACCAATCACAACACACTGCTCCAGCCGACCAATCAGAGCACAGCGTGCTTTTCAGGAGGAGGGGCTTCACAGAGACAGGAAGTAAACAGAGCGTTACTGTCAGACTGGGAAGAGAGGAGCCGCAACAATGACAAAATAATGTGTTTTTTGAACATTCATGCTGAAAATTCAGCTTTGCGTCGCAAGAATAAATGACAGTTTAAAATATATGTAAATAGAAAACTTGAATTTGACGTAATAATATTTCAGTGTTTGCACTGTATATTTGATCAAATTAACGCAGCCTTGATGAGCAGAAGAGACTTCAAAAACATAAAAAAATTGAACAGTCCACACGACACACACACACACACACACACACACACAGTTCCAAAACAGTTTCATCTAATTAAAAAAAAACAACTCTTCTGGAATCAATAGTGTGATTGTGTGTGTGTAAAACGTTTTAAATCCATGACTGACGAGGTTTCACTGCTTTAGACCTCGAGGAGGATCACTAGGGCTCGAAACAGAACTGTGTGTAACGTTTCAACACATAAAGCAGCTTCACTGAATCACACAGCCTGAAAATAACACAATTAGCAACATAAAAACCTAAAATAACCCTGAACGCATTCAACAGCGCCAACTTTAGAGGCTGAACATAAATCTAGAAGAACAGAAAGACAAAGAAAGAAGAAGAGAAAACGAGTAAACGGAGACGATGCCAACAGCCTGTGGTGTTTAACCTGCGCTGAGACTGAAGATGAAATTATGCGATCGATCCACGCGGATCCAAGAGTAGCAGCACACACAGCGCCAGGAGATTTACACACTCAAACACACTGACGTCTCGTGATCAGCCATCAACATCTGGATGAACAGCTGAACGCTTCATAACACCAAACACACACACACACGTCATCTAGATGAGATAATCAAAATCACCAGGTCTTGTCAAAAATGTAAAATAAATAGTCACTAGAACTCTGATATGGTGTTATTTTAGTATCATTGCTAGTTTTTATTAATAGTTTTAATTCGTTTTCAGAATTGTGATTTTTGGGTGAACTGCCCCTTTAAATGCTGGAGCTTCACATTTTTCAAAAACTTTTCTCAAAGCCAGTTCTCCTCAAGTTCACACGTGTAGAGAAATAAACACAATACTGATGGTGTTCATCCTTAACACTACATCTAATGTATTTCGAACTACAAACTATCTAGCAACAAACACCAAGACCTCATTTCCCACAATGCAACCCATCCTCAAGCAAACAAAAGCAATATCTCCAGTAGGAGAAAGAGAAGCGCTGCATCTGTTCATGGTGATGTGGGGCAGAAATAGTGTCTTATTATCACGGCTGGCAGCAGACTGACTATCAGCGGGCTGTGTGTGTGTGTGTGTGTGTGTGTGTCACCCCCACAGCTTCACAAGCCTCTTATTTGCCTGTCTCCTGCGGGTTTGTCTCGCTGGAGTCTCCCTGACCACCACTGCTCCCCGGGGTTCCCGAACCACATGTTTACCTAGCTAGCCCACTTCTGTTTAAGACTTCTCTCTCTCTCTCTCTCTCTCTCTCTCTCTCTCTCTCTCTCTCTCTCTCTCTCTCTCTCTCTCTCTCTGTGTGTGTGTGTGTGTGTGTGTGTGTGTGTGTAACTAACTATATTTTGGGGACAAATTTGTAAGAGGAGAGAATATACAGTTTGAACAGTATAAAAACCATAAAACCATTACCATTGTGTGTGTGTGTGAGAGAGTGTGTGTGAGTGTGTGTGAGTGTGTGTGTGTGTGTGAGAGTGTGTGTGTGAGTGTGTGTGTGTGTGTGTGAGAGTGTGTGTGTGTGTGTGAGAGTGTGTGTGTGTGTGTGTGAGAGTGTGTGTGTGAGTGTGTGTTTGTGTGTGTGTGTGTGTGAGAGTGTGTGTGTGTGTGTGAGACGTAGAAAGTAGGAAAAAGAGACGCATCAGAATGATCATGGATAAAGGAAAGTTGTTTTCTGAAAATCGTTGGTTGGACAAATTCTGACTAAGCATCTGAATACTAGCAACTCATCAACATGAAATCGAAAGTATTTCAAGTTCTCCTTATGTTCTGTTGTTTTCTCCTACAACAGGTTCACATGCATCCAAGTTAAAAAAAACACATTTTCTCATAATCTCCACTGCAGCATCAGCTCTTTCCTCTCAGTGTCTGAAACGGTTAGTTTGAGGATTCAGTCTCTCTAAGCCCCGCCTCTCTGAGAGCTGCTCTGCTCTGATTGGCCAGAATGCAAACGCTCATTATCATATCTGAATCTCAGCTCTTGATCACAGTGATACGAACAGTAACGATGGCGTGGGTTTCACCGTATCAATCTCATCACAGTGGATTTGCTTTGTCAGCAGAAAACAACGTTTTTTATTTTATTTATCTATTACACACTTCATGAACGGTAATATCGCAAAAAGCATAATAGAGCACTTGCTCCATTTGGCTCTACACACACATGCACACAAACCAGGGTTATTTTTGTTACCTAAAACTAGAACTATTTTTGTTAAATTAAATAAAGCTTAAATAAAATAAAATATAAATATTAGATGAAAAGTTAAACTAAATGAAAATTGGAAATGCTGCCTTGGTAACTAATAGGGGTGTTGAAATTAATCATTTCTACGATGCATCACAATGCGGACGTGGACGATTCTGCATTGATGCAGTAATAAACCATAATCGATTATAGCCTAAAAATGACAACAAAATTCCTAAAACTTAAATTAAAATTAAAATATACAAATAAAAGCTAATTCAAAATATTAATACAAATTATAGCTGTATATAAATAATACTAAAAAAATATTAACTATAACTGAAATAAAATTTCATAAAAAGTGCATAGACATAAAAAACTACTAAAACTTTAACTAAATTAAACTGAAATTTTAAAATATACAAGATATACAAATAAAAGCTAATTCAAAATATAAATACAAATATTAATACAAATATTTTATATATAACAAAAATGCATAGAAATATACAAAAATTACTAAAAACACACAACAAAATTACTAAAACTTTAACTAAAATTAAAAATTTAAATATAAAATTAAAAACTAATTCAAAATAATAATAATAGTCTCTCAATGACAGTACAACACACACACACACACGGCAGTGTTACGGACCCTCACTGGAGGAAGCGAGTGCAGTAAACAGGACGAGAGGGGTTGCCCTAGTTAACTCGTGTCTTTAGGGTCACACACACACACAACTACAGTCAGGAAACACTCCGGCCAAAACAAACATGGCACTGGGAAAATGCTTTGTGTAAACGAGCGCTGAAGCGAGACGTAATCTCACGCGAGCCGCCCTACTGTACATCGTGCTCCTAATCTGACTGCAGGCTCACCATCATGTGTTCCTGGTAGAACTGATCTCCGATCAGCTGGAGCTTCTGTCCGATGCGCGTCTCGACTCTGAGCGGATCCATCGGCTCGTTCTCCTGTCGAACCGCGTCTGCGGGCTGAGAGCGGCCGGGCGGCGCTAGCAGTAGCAATCCTGCGTTACCTGTTCACACAAACAGAGAATAATATACATGAGTCTGGGGGACATTAGGCACAAAGTCAGCATTAAATCAAAATGGATGAAAATCGTTTGTTTTTTTCTAGAATATTGCATAAATGATTATTCATCAATAATTCAAAGTCATCGTAATCTTGAATCAGAATATCTCTTCTCTGATGATATGGGCGGGGCTATAACCTGTCACTCACATGAGGTCAGCCAATAGCAAACCACAACTGTTCAATCATCCAATCAACTCCCCACGGACACAATCAAGCCCACGCCCACATTTGTTCTTGTTCCAGAAGCGTTTCACTCGGATATACGGCACAATAGAGAAGAAAAGATGAGCGCAACTTCACTTTCATGCTGGTTTTAAATGTGAATTGTGTAATTTCTGAACCTCTAGTGGCACCAAATGGAATTGCAAAGATGATGTCTGTTTTCAAACAGGTTTTCCAAACACTCCTGAGTCACTCAAACTAACAGATCAATGTTATGAAAGCGTCACAGTTGATGCACCAAAATTTCGGCAAATTAAAATATACTTTTAAAGTCCCCCTGTGGTGAAAAGCATGCTTTTAATGTTGTTTATGTGTCTATGTGGTGTTTTTAATACGCTTTAAGACACACCGTGTGTAAGTTCATAAGTCGACAGCATTGCTGAGTATTTCCTCCTTAAGACTGCAGTGAAATCGCTGGTGTTTCTGACGTCACAAACGACCTTGTAACCAATCAGATCAACGTGTGATCGTCAACCAGTGCATCTCTGAGCTGAGGGAGTGAGTGGAGGCGGGGCTCATTTGCATATTCATAGAACCGTGCATACTAAATGAGGCGAGGGTGTCGAGTTACATTCAAGATATTTTAAGGCGTGAAGAATTTTTTAAGGAAAAACGCTTAAATATGTCATTTTGGTGATCAAAGATGAGTTTTAAGGGATAAAATGATTGACTACAGGGACTTTAACCCTCTGGGGACCAGAAACGCGCGGGCGCGTTTTGCTCGTTTTTTTTCACATAGCAGAAAAATAGACTTAAAGTACTACCATCATTTCTGTTCATATAGAGTTAAGAAATATGAGAAAATAATCTGTTAAATGTCTACTTTTTTTATGTGCCCACATACAATCGAAATAAAATATTGTGCTTTTGTAAAATAAAGAAAATAAACAGGGTGTGCGTTCTGCCTCTCGGTCACCGTGAACTTTTTTTCTGGAGCACGTCTCTAATCTTCAACACAACTCAGCTAAAACTATTCACCCAGCCATAAGCAATATATCTTTTAAATCATTTGAGTTTGTACTTTTAAATGATCCGATTCAAAACTAAAATTATTATTCTCCGTTTATGTCATCTATATAAAAAGAGAGACGTGTCAGCCCGTCTCATTATCGTTCTCTCAGCTGATTATCCCTGGTAATGTGACACGCCCACGGAGAGCACGAGCTATTCAAACGCAAATATGTGAAGCAACACATTGAGACGCGTTAACGCCCATAAACTCTGAAAACACACATTATTTTTTAGTCAGATTAATCTACTGTCGTCTTGCGCGGCTATATGAGGAACAATCCTGGGACACTTACCACTGGATTTATTTTCACTGCGAGGATGAACAGATTCAGCTGAGAAGTAAGTGTTTTATGCAAGTGCTTTGTTCTAATCGCGATATAGAATAACGTAGTGTCTGTAAACGGAAAAATAGCATACTGTTAAATGTGAATCGTGTGTGTGTGTGTGTGTGAATGAATGAATGAATGAATGAACGCACAGATACGCACTGTTACAGACTAAATAACAGACAACATTTCTCGTTTTGGATAAAGTTTTTACTCTAAAATAGACATCAAATAAGCTTTTTTAGGAGTTTCTGCTCATATGTTAAATATATAGTAGGCCTATGTTTTGTCAATAAACTAATCAACTAAGATGTTATAGTGTTTGTTCAAGCTATATCAAAATAATGAATCCTCAACTTTGAAATATGTATGATCAAACTAAGACATTTATGGAGAAAGACAATTTTCTTTTCAAGATGTTTCCAACTCTAACTTTGAACTGAAATAAAACCATGTCTATATGGTGAAGGGTGTGTGATAGAAGTGTCCAGACGTATGCACCCTGTATTTTCCTTATATAAATCCAAACAATCTAAAAGCCATTCTTTTTTAAATCTCCTCATTCTTTGTGCAAGGCTCCTGTAATGATATGGCCTGATAGCACCTAATAGGGCCATTATGGGAGGGTCTTTGTCTTTCTCAGGTGTGGAATGCCATACATATTAATGAGAGATCAAGCCTCCTGCATAAAGCTTTCTCAAACAAAACACGTCATTAAAAATGTAAAAGACTTTATTGACTTATCTGAATGAGTAGTCAGGATGATTCTCACATAGTTTTGGAGCAAATATTCTAGGCTATGTGATACAATTTTCAAAAGTCTTGTGAAGAAATAATCAATATGTGTTTTGTGGTCTTATTTCAGCAACTTTTATTTTTATTTTTTTCAATAACCACGCATAAACATTATTCTATTAAAAATACAAACATGTACATACATGTTGCTCAGATATCATGGATGCCAAGTTTGTGCTATATAGAGTGAATTTACACCTTTGCCATTAACATGTTTATAAATAACTGAAAAAAGCACAAATGTCAGTGCATGTCAAAACATCCCAAGGGCCCCAAAAACACTCTGGTCCCCAGAGGGTTAAATAAAGAAACAGCAAAAAAATGTATTATTGGTTTCAGCTGATTTTTTTTTTTTGAGTGTCGAAAGCATTGAAATAAAAGTGACGTTTAACTATTTCCCCGCTATTGACGGGAATGTTCACTGTTATACGGTAGGGGGCGCTGTTACACATCTCCTGAATCTCCTGATCAAAACACATGTGAAGGAGAAGCAGAAGGAATCAATGTCATATGTAGGCAGATGCACATGTAAAATAACGCGATCATCGACATTAAACATCATAAATCAAAACTAATGTTCCTGAATGAACTGTCGACTCAGGACTGTGAAGCTTCAGGGTGTCGATGGACTCGATTTACTGTGTTTTAATCATCGTTCTGAATCTGATCCAGGCGTAGTCTTTGATTTTCTACAGCTTTTTGCTCAAAATATTGCTTTTTTATGAAACTTACATTCAAGTGTTGATAATAAAAGAAAGCGGGTTTTGTGTTTTAAAGCAGAGGCTCGCTTCCTTTCTTTTGATATATGCTCAAATATTCATACAACAAAATATTCTTTTGTGAAAGTGATGAAAAATGCTGGAAACGTTGTTCAAAAACACTGGCAGGGAAAGAGTTAATGTATGTTTAAATAAATCTGTCATAAAAAAGTTTCTATTAGTCACCGTAAATGTTTATATGTCAACATCAAATGAATATAGAGCTTGATATAAAAACTGACTTCTAATGACTCTGAATATTAAACTGACCCAGCAGAAACTATCTGAACATCTGATCAATGCTGACGATGAACTTTGCTCATTCCCGCCAGCGAGTGAGTGTTATTGAGTGTACGCAACCCTGATGAAAGATTAGGTTGTTTAGCATACAAGCCTATATATAATGCTGTATATCACGACAACAGCTCTCAGAACAGAGGGCGGAGGTCAAGTCTGTGTTGTGTGTTTTCATCATGTTACGATGTTTAAAGTATATCTGCTTCAAAGATGCTTCAAGTGCTGTAAAAGCAAAGATGTTTAAAAATAAACTTGCGAGAGAAAAGGCCTCTGTGGTGTGAAAGCGTTGAGTCATGAAGTCGTGACGTTGATTTTTCACAGAAGTCAAACAGGAAGTTTCTGTTTTGAAGCCTCAGACTGAAAACAAAAAGCTTTTTTCAGGACTGGACATAAAAATCACATTTATTTTCTTTAAAAAAAACTTTTGACTGGTAGTGTGTGTACAAATGTAAAAACAACAAATTATGCAAAACGATTATGTAACACTTACAATAAGGTTCAATGCATTAATTAACATGAACTAACCATGAGCAATACATTAGTTACAGTATTGATGAATCTTTGTTAATGTTAGCTAATAAAAATACAGCTTTTCATTGTTTGTTCATGTTTGTTCATTAACTAATGTTAACTAATACAACCTTTGATTTTAATAACGTATTAGTAAATGTTGAAATTAATATTAACTCAGATTATCAAATGCTGTAGAAGTATTGTTCATGTTAACTAATGAACCTTAGTTCAACAAACCCTCTAATCTAATGAGTTCTGAGGATAAGTGAGACTAAATGCCACACTCAGTGTGATTTCAACTACAGGTCCTTCTAAAAAAATTAGCATATTGTGATAAAGTTCATTATTTTCCATAATGTAATGATAAAAATGAAACTTTCATATATTTTAGATTCATTGCACACCAACTGAAACATTTCAGGTCTTTTATTGTTTTAATACTGATGATTTTGGCATACAGCTCATGAAAACCCAAAATTCCTATCTCAAAAAATTAGCATATCATGAAAAGGGTCTCTAAACGAGCTATTAACCTAATCATCTGAATCAACTAATTAACTCTAAACACCTGCAAAAGATTCCTGAGGCTTTTAAAAACTCCCAGCCTGTTTCATTACTCAAAACCACAATCATGGGTAAGACTGCCGACCTGACTGCTGTCCAGAAGGCCATCATTGACACCCTCAAGCAAGAGGGTAAGACAGAAAGAAATTTCTGAACAAATAGGCTGTTCCCAGTGTGCTGTATCAAGGCACCTCAGTGGGAAGTCTGTGGGAAGGAAAAAGTGTGGCAAAAAACGCTGCACAACGAGAAGAGGTGACCGGACCCTGAGGAAGATTGTGGAGAAGGACCGATTCCAGACCTTGGGGACCTGCGGAAGCAGTGGACTGAGTCTGGAGTAGAAACATCCAGAGCCACCGTGCACAGGCGTGAGCAGGAGATGGGCTACAGGTGCCGCATTCCCCAGGTCAAGCCACTTTTGAACCAGAAACAGCGGCAGAAGCGCCTGACCTGGGCTACAGAGAAGCAGCACTGGACTGTTGCTCAGTTTTGCATGTCATTCGGAAATCAAGGTGCCAGAGTCTGGAGGAAGACTGGGGAGAAGGAAATGCCAAAATGCCTGAAGTCCAGTGTCAAGTACCCACAGTCAGTGATGGTCTGGGGTGCCATGTCAGCTGCTGGTGTTGGTGCACTGTGTTTTATCAAGGGCAGGGTCAATGCAGCTAGCTATCAGGAGATTTTGGAGCACTTCATGCTTCCATCTGCTGAAAAGCTTTATGGAGATGAAGATTTCATTTTTCAGCACGACCTGGCACCTGCTCACAGTGCCAAAACCACTGGTAAATGGTTTACTGACCATGGTATTACTGTGCTCAATTGGCCTGCCAACTCTCCTGACCTGAACCCCATAGAGAATCTGTGGGATATTGTGAAGAGAAAGTTGAGAGACGCAAGACCCAACACTCTGGATGAGCTTAAGGCCGCTATCGAAGCATCCTGGGCCTCCATAACACCTCAGCAGTGCCACAGGCTGATTGCCTCCATGCCACGCCGCATTGAAGCAGTCATTTCTGAAAAAGGATTCCCGACCAAGTATTGACTATTGAGTGCATAACTGAACATAATTATTAGAAGGTTGACTTTTTTTTTGTATTAAAAACACTTCTTTTATTGGTCAGATGAAATATGCTAATTTTTTGAGATAGGAATTTTGGGTTTTCATGAGCTGTATGCCAAAATCATCAGTATTAAAACAATAAAAGACCTGAAATATTTCAGTTGGTGTGCAATGAATCTAAAATATATGAAAGTTTAATTTTTATCATTACATTATGGAAAATAATGAACTTTATCACAATATGCTAACTTTTTGAGAAGGACCTGTAGTAGTTTAATGTAGTACTGACACTAAAACTCTAAAAACTTGAACTCACACAGTACTTTTATTTTGGTTGAACGATACACAATACATATTGTTGCATATTTGTATTGCGATATATTGTGGCACGATATATTGTTACACCCCTGACGATCAGAGATGCATTGTGTCAGTGCACGGTGTCATTTGCATTGCAAAGCGACTGGGAACAAACACAGGTAATAAAGCAGATGAAGTCATGACAGATGATATGTGTGACCCTGGACCACAGACCTCGAGTCGCACGGGTTTATCTGCCAACAATACACTGTATGGGGCAAAATTATCGATTTTTCTTTTATACCAAAGGCAAAAATCATTAGGATATTAAGTAAAGATCATGTTCCATGAAGATATTTTGTACATTTCCTACCATAAATATAGTGGATGCAGAACAATCGTGAACATAAATGCACAACTTTAAAGATGATTTTCTCAATGTTTTGATTTTTTTTGCACCCTCAGATTCCAGATATCTCGGCCAAATATTGTCCTATCCTATCAAACCATACATCAACGGAAAGCTTATTGATTCAGCTTTATATGATGTATACATCTCAATTAAAATAAATTGGCCCTTGTGGCTGGTTTTGTGGTCCAGGGTCACATGCGCCAGAGAGAGAGAGGGGTGTGTACCGTAGAGTCTGGGCTCGTGCGCTCCACAGGTCAGCATGCCGTTGGGTGATCGAGCGGGACGCCCTGCTGTCTCTGAAGGCTTTATCTGCAGGCGAGAGGAAGGCCAGCGCTGATGACCCTTCCCACACACACCATCCTCATCCTCATCCATCAGCTGGACTCCTCACCTACACACACGAGTGGAGAACACACACAATCAGGACAAAACAACAACACAATTATATCGGCCAGGCTGATTAATGGGCCAGTATTTGACCATTTTGAGATGATCAATATATATATATATACACAAAACTATTTAATTATATATTATAAATATATATATAAACAGTACACACACACACACACACATATATATATATATATACACACACACACACACAAATATATACAAAATAAATAAATATATATAAACAAAAAATGTGTCTATATATACATTTTTTGATTTTATATATATTATATATATATGTACATATTACAATATATATTTCTTTTTATATATTTATTTAATTTTATATATTTGTGTGTGTGTATATTTACATTTATTCTTTTTTTTATATATACATATGTGTATTTGTATATATATATACATATATATATATATATATAAAATAAATGCATAAAAGTTAAATTATATATTATAAATATATAAGTAGTATATATACACACACACACATATATAGGCAATACACACACAATTATATAAAAATGGAATAAATATATAAATAAATATATATAAAAATATGTGTGTATATACACAATTTTTTTTTCTTTTTATATTTATTATATTTGATGTATTTACAATAT